TACAATCTAACGCTTGATGTCCGAGAGCGAGGTGAATCCCTGATTTGTGCGACCTGACCTCTAGAGACTTCAAATTTGGAATCTCTTCAGAGATCTCTGATTAGTAACGGGCTGACTTCTTGGGAATTTCAAATTTTGAATTATGGCAAATCTGTGAGGAGATCGCGGATTTGTAGCGAGCTAACTGTAAGGACTTTCGAAATGTGTACTGTGGCGAATCTCCGAGGAGATTTGCCTAAGTCTCGAATTTGTTACGAGCTGATCATTGAAATTTGTAGCGATCTGGTCCTTCGGATTTTTCAAAACTTTAACTGTGGCGAATCTCTGAGGAGATTTGCCTAAGTCTCGAATTTGTTACAAGCTGATTATTGCAGTTTGTCGCGATCTGATTCTTTGGATTTTTCAACAACTATGTCGAATCTCAGAGGAGATTTGCTCAGGGCTTTTGGTATTCTTCTGATTTTAGCAGATGCCCTTTTGCCTCCCCACAATAAATGCTGGCTCAGCATTTGAGGGGACGTGACAGCTGCAACGGCGCTTTTTAAGTTTTTGCCCATAAATGGCTGGCACGTGGACGCGTTTAACTGGGGGGTCATAACACGCGTACGAAAATTACAGAGCACTATCTGAAGGAGAGGAACAAAAGGAAATTTCTGTTTCATTGCTCAGTACGTTAACATTTTCCTCAGCGATAGTTGCAGAGACGCTTCAGAGTATTCCTCAGAATTTTCAGTGAAAGGATATTCGACTTCCCTTATTCAGGTAAAAATGACATCTTCACATGATGCGCAAGGATTCCGGGGTAACCAAGGTGAAGATGAGGACATCGACGTGATATCTGTGGAGCCTATCACCATGATAGTGCCGCCGGAGTTGCAGGATTCGCCTAGAACCGCCACGCTTGAGAATAGCAGTAGTTCGAGCACGAGTAGTGGCTCTGAGAACCACCAGCCTTCAACTTCTAGGGATTCGCCCGTGGAAGGGATATCCGGCGAGGTACGGGGTGCTGAAGAGGTTGGGTGCAGCGTGCCGTTGGCGAGTACAGCAGTTGAGGCGGTTTTGTTTGAACGGTGGGAGAGCCAGGTTCTCAGCGGGCGACTAGACAACCTCCGTAAAGCTCCCAAAACCCTACCGGCCAGATTTAGGTTCAGGGCGGTTCTGCACCACGAAGTTGCAGATGGGGTGGCCACAGTGAAACGGTATAAGAAGCTAGAGCATATGGTGAGGCGATTCCAGATCCCCAGAACCATCCTGATCCGAGCTGGTACACCAAATGAAAGGGCGTGCTCAGTATCACGGACGGGCTGGGTGCCAGTGTACGTAGACCATTTTGAGGCCGGTCTACGTTTTCCTCTGCCCGAGCTAATTTTTGATGTCCTGGCAGAGTACGAGCTGGCCCTTTCGCAACTCACTCCCAACAGCATAAAGTTCATCATAGGCTTTATGTTGTTGTGCGAAAGGCTGGGGATGCCTACAAAGGCGGTGGTCTTCAGGTCGCTCTTCCTGTGCCGTTTGTGCCCGTCTACGAGTGGGACGAGGTGGTACTACGTCTCAGGAAGAGAGAAGATGATTATCTTCACCAACATTAGGAACAAGGTGGCGAGATGGAAGAGGCAGTTCGTCTTCGTGCGCGATACACGAACTGAAAGGATGAATAACGAGCTCGCCGCCCGTCTGTCTGAGTGGCGTACGCTGAACACGTACATGAACTACCCTCAGCTGACCGTTGGTGACGTCGACCTGAAGAACCGACTACTCGATCACGTGAAGGCGAGGGGTTTGGTGGATCTGGAGGCCTTGGTTACCCCAGACCAGATCGCACTTCTTGGGTTTGTCGATGTGGCAAACCTGCACGGTGAAGGTATATTCCTATAACATAGCAGGATTTCCAGCCGACCTGAATCTTATGTTTTTATTTGTGCAGGAGAAATGAGCAGCATCCTAGAGAGGCAAAGACAGCGAGCTCAAGGCTCAAGGAGCCGGGGAGCTGGGTCCGGCTCCCAACGTCAGTCCCGCTTTGACGAGCGGCCACCTGCTGCACCAGGGCGCAGCTCACAGCACAGAGGTTCCATCTCGGCACAGAGGCCACGTGCTGAGCAAAGAATTGAGCCTGCGCCTTCCAGCTCCAGAAGGCGTTCGAGGGAAGACGCGGATGCCGATGCAGAGGATGACGTGCCTCTCATCTGGCGTAGGACAAGCACCGGTTCGCAACCCGCCCCGGTCGCTGCTGCAAGACCCTCCAACGTGTCCCAAGCGCCAGCTCGCGAGGTTGCTGAGGCCGCACCGACCTCGACGTTTGTGGGGGGCCCAAGGATTGCATACCCGGACGGCTTCAGTTACGCCCGGACTGAGTGTCAGACTGCTATGCTGTAGGGTATGCAGAACTTCGTGCCCCCTGCAGACTGGCTGCGTGCAAAGGGGCACGTTCAGCAGCATGGAGGACATGCTGCGCTAATAAAGTTGATGGATGTAAGTATATTTGGTGAGCTCGGTATTATGTTTTACCTTGTTTTTACTATAAACTGACGAGTGAACCTGTATTGCAGGCGTTCAGCTACACTGTCGCACTCTTTGAGTGCGAGCAGGGAGCCAGGGCGCAGAACAGCGAGCTGCAACACAACTGCAAACAGTTGGCATCTGAGAAGGCCAGCTTGGCTGACGAGGTTAACCGCTTGCAGAGCTCGGAGATGGCCAACCGAGCGGCGTCAGCTGAAAGCCGGGCTGAGATGCTTAGGCGTCCTCCTGTTCGTCCATGTCATGCCTTGGAGGGCGACCTCCTGTAAAAGTACGAACCATTTTGTTTTTCAGTAGGTTAAGTCACACAACTTCTTGTTCGAGTTTCCCACAGACGGCGCCAATGTTTCGGCAGCTTCACAGTCCAACACTGTTGAAGTCCTCAGCTGCTTCTAAACCTGAAAATCCCGAGGTTGTTTCCTCAAGGAAAACACTCCGACACTCAAGTCAGCAATACTCAGTATTCTAGAGAGAGATGCTCTCGAGGAGTAATTGCAGAGAGAGAAGCGTAGAGATTTATTACCTCCATTGTTGGT